GCCCGCCACAACACCTGGCCATTTTTTGGTTGCAGCCATCATTGTTGTTTGGCGGGCCCGGGTTGGGGATTCAAACCCGCCACCTTAGATGTATGTGGCTGGTGCCTTAGCCGCTTGAGCCACAGGTGCCAAGCCCATGATCAACATTCTTAGTTAGCCAAGCAGCCTAGAAGAACTCCAAGCTTGGCTTGGAGCTCTTAGCTCAGTGGTTAGGGTGCTGGCCACATACACTGGAGCTGGCAGGTTGGAACCCGGCCTCGGCCTGCTAAACTACAACAACACCTGCAATACAAAAATAGCCTGGTGGGGGCTTGTAGTCCCAGCTATTTGGGAGGCTGAGGCAAGAGAATCACTTAAGCCCAAGAGTTTGAGGTTGCTGCAAGTTGAGATGCCATAGCACTCTACAGAGGGCAACATAGTGAGACTCTGTTTCAAAAAGGAATTCCAAGCTCCTTCAAGAATTTACCTTGGTATCCAAGCTAGCATTTGCTCTTGAATAAACCAGGCATATTTGTCCCAGCTACTAAACACTACCTTGAAAACTACTCCCCGTTCTAAATAGCACCAACAGATGCCTATTTCTAAGTCAAATAGGTTATAAATGTTAAGATGGAAATAACCTAAAGATAGAACGGGTCTGAAGTCTCTTGGAGGTTTAGAGTGCTCCAAATACTTGTCATTAAAGTATGTCCAGAAATAATTCTCATTTGGAACAGAGCTTATGTTCATATTTTTAGAAACCCAGGATTAAAAAAATTTAAATCAAGATTTTTTTTTTGGAGACAGAGTCAGTGCCATGGCATCGTCACAGCAACCTCAAACTCTTGGGCTTAAGCGATTCTCTTGCCTCAGCCTTCCAAGTAGCTGGGACTATAGGCGCTCACCACAACACCTGGCTATTTTTTGGCTGCAAGTGTCATTGTTGTTTAGCAGGCCTGGGCTGGGCTCGAACCTGCCAGCTTTGGTATATGTGGCTAGTGCCCTACTCACTGAGCTATGTGCACCAAGCCAAAACAAGATATTTTCAGAAAAAACTATGAACTGACTGCCTCACAACATACATGCTCATCAATTCTTCTAAAAGATTATTCTCAGTTTAGTCTTCAGGGTAACTAATATATATATAATTTTTTAATGTATAAATTTATATTTATTTAAATCAGTTGTTCATACAATTATTATGCCAATAATATTCTAAAAGACTTAAGACAAGTATGCTTCCCGTAATCTTTATTTTTACAAAGAAAAGATAATGCAAATAAGTTAACTGCTTTATTAAAGAATCATTTATGTAGTTCAGAAGCAGGAAGTCAGAGATCTTTGTATCCTCCAGAGTGCTGTGTAAGACACAAATAAGAGAAAGAAGATACAGGATTTCTAATACAAACTGTTTCTACATCGCCTTTTAAATTACTGGCACCATACTATCAACATAAGAAACAAGTGATAAGATTAATAGTAACAAGTATTTGTAACAGGATGTTCAGATTATTTCTTTGGGAAAAACAGTTTTGTAAAATCCACAGCAAGTTTTAAAAGTTAATAAAGAAAATTTTCATCCTAATATATAATACAACCATGGAGAGTTTTTTTTTCTCTTAAAGCATGCATTTACATTAGTTGTTATAGTAACACTATCGATGAGAATAATATATTTTTCTAGAAACTTTCCCAATGGTTACAAGACTTTTCTTTTGTACTTCACAGGCAAACTGAAATTTGGAGATGAATTAACTGAACATGAGTCTCACATCAAGTCTGAAGAAATGGGCCTGGAAGTTCACAGCTAGCATTCTGTTCTCTACAGGTTCAAATGAAGACAAGCGGCATTCCTATGATTTCCTTTGGCTTTAATATTTTATTAATAGACTTAATTTAATTCAGTTGGTATGTGTATCGAAAACCACTTGAAGTTTCTATCTTACACAAAGTTTTCTTTTCTTTTTTTTTTTTTTTGAGAGAGAGCCTCAAGCTGTCTCCCTCATAGCAACTTTTAACTCCTGGGCTCAAGTGATTCTCCAGCCTCCGCCTCCAAAGTAGGTGGGACTACAGGAGCCTGCCACAATACCTAGCTATTTTTTGGTTGCAGCTGTCATTGTTGTTTGGTGGGCCTGGGTGGCAGGATTCGAACCTGCCAGCTCAGGTGTATGTGGCTGGCGCTATAGTCGCTTGAGCCACGGGTGCCGAGCCCACAAAGTTTTCTTCCCAATGTATAACCACTTTATAAATCAAGTTCTATACACACTACATTTGTATGTCTCCATGTGTTACCTGTTTGAGGCTTTTAAATGTAGAGATAATGGGGCAGCGCCTGTGGCTCAATGAGTAGGGCACCGGCCCCATATATATACTGAAGGTGGCAGGTTCAAACTCAGCCCCAGCCAAACTGCAACTACATGTAGAGATAATGGCCAAAGGAACTCAGATTTACTATGCACTTAACATGTCTTTTCTAGTTTTTTCACTTATCTTCACTTCATAGCTCCAAAGGTTATTTGCTTTAATTTCTAAGATTAAAATTAATTTATGTTAATTACCTACAATTTTGATAATAAAGAACTCGGTGACTCTGTGTATTAAAAATTTGTATCTAAGGTCTTGCAAATATCTGATTATGAGAACGTCCCTTTTTAAGAAAGCAATACTGAAGACTTCTAAAATGGCAAAATATTAGTGTCTATGAAGATCAAGGTGAAAACAAACTCTTCAGTTTAAAAATCCAAGAGAATAATTTAAAGATTTAAAAAACTCACCTTTCAAATTATCAACATGCACCCAGGAAGCAGTCCCTGGTTTCTTGGTTTCTACGTCACTTTCAGATACAGTTTCCCCTGTCTCAGCTGTTTTCCCTCTATCTGTTTCTTTGTCTGCATCAGTGAATTTTTCGACATCGTCATCATCTTTTGCATCAATAAAATTTTCTTCATCATCAGACTCCTAACCAAAAAATGGTTTAACGAATCTACATTAATCAACTGAAAGTTGCGATAAAGTCTATGTTCAATTTTATGCGAGAGTTTTGAAGATTCACGTATTGAAATTCTTGTGAAACTTGAAAGTTCTAAGTAACTCTGAGGCAGGTACTATTATTTCTACTTCACAACTGAGGAAACAGGCTTACAAGACCGACTAGGCTTCATTATCTTCCGTAACTATCTCATATAATTGCAATTTGTAGTATAATGAAGTTTATGACAAGGAGAGAGGTCAAGCAACATGACCTCCTAGTAGACTGTTCAGCTGGTACTACAATTTAGGCCTGTTTGAATCCCAAACTCACTCTTATAAATGCTCCAGAGAACTAAGATATTGTCATCTGAAACAAAGCAAAACACTATAAAACAACCAATGAATTTTAACACCCACTCAATTTAAAGAGCAGTTGTGAAATATACCGGATGATCGTCCAGTTGACTTCTTAAACCTGGTTTTGCTTTAAGGATTTCAGATACAAGATATAGAGCTCCACATATGAATGGCGGCATCTGTTCACAAGTAACTTGAAGCAACCTTTTCACAAAAGCCTTCACCCGGCGCAATACGATGTCAGCTTTCAGAGATTTGTAGATTAGGTTAAGAAACATAGCTTGCTTGGAACACATTATCAACCTTGGATCCAACATCTTCCTACAAAACAGGACCAAGATCAAATATTTATTCATAAAACATCTCCACAACCGAAAGCACATATCAGAGGCAAACTACTAACCTTACCTTAATTAAGGACAACTATTTTCCTACTTATTTTAGAAGAGATCATTTTTGCCCTAAGAGGTAAAATGGAAATCAATACCAGAACAGAAAGAATGATGATAGCACAAGGGAGAAAAAAAGTCACAGGAGCAAGAGGTGTTTTTTGTGGTTTCTCTTTTTTTTTTTTTTTTTTT